CAATAATTCACTAGATATTTAGAGCTCATCCCGCGCCTTCGCTTTTACTTTACAATTGTATAACACATATGTAAGGGTTATGAACTGCGCGCTGTTTTCCTTTACAATTTCGTGCATCTGCGCATTTTTCCTGTCCGCTTTTTTTCTGATTATCCTGCAAAATGTGCCACAGTGCAGCCACCATAGAAACCCGGATATTCTGATTCTTCGGTCCGTCAACAGCCTCGCATCCACCCACTTCCTCTTCCACGGCATCCATTGCGAACAGGTATCCAGTCATAGGATCAGCTATCTCGTCAATCACGGCTGTCGTCTACATATGGAAGCTTTAATATGCGCACAAGCATATTTCACCGGGCGGGCCGGCGCAACAAATTTTAATAAATTACACACGAAGTTTCGCAGACGTCCAGACGAATTTTCTTAAAGACCGTTTGTATCTAGCGATCTCCAACGTCGCGGGACAGTAACAAACGAGCTGGCATCAATCGACCGCGGCGGCCGAAATTTTCATCGTTACTCACGGAAAATATTTCCGCGCCGCTGGAAATTTCCCCGGCGTAACGAAATTATTACACGACAGTAACAGATACCTTTGGCGGATTAAAGTAACCGTAATCCATTCAGCGCCGCGGGTGGACAAGCGCAACGAAAGTGGCTTATTTTACTCGGGTTGGGCGGACCGGAGGGAGAGGGAAAGATAATCTTGAGCACGTCTCGGGCAGAAACCTCCGGTTTCCTGATTCATAGGCTGCCTCGTGTTACAGGCTGCTACCGGTTAACGTTGCGGCGAGTGTCTTAACGCCGCGTTAATTAAAATTACGCCCGACTGGCCGGACTCGTCGCACCTACGGCTATCGCGATGATTCCGCGCGCCTACGAAAGGAAATCGTAATTGGTCCTTGTTACGGGGACCGTGAACTATTACCGTACCACCGATTCGTGTGCGCCGACCGTTAATGGTGAAAGTATTCTCCCAATCTTTTTCTTTTCTTTTAATTAAGTTGCAAATTGTTTTCTGAGCGCAAATTGTAAATTGGGGTTCTAATTCAGTGGGTCGGAGAAATGATTTCTTTCTCTTCT